AGAGAGAGAGAGAGAGAGAGAGAGAGAGAGAGAGAGAGAGAGAGAGAGAGAGAGAGAGAGAGAGAGAGAGAGAGAGAGAGAGAGAGGAGAAGGAATGACATGGAGGGACTAAGAGAGAGAGGAGAAGGAATGACATGGAGGGACTAAGAGAGACAGTCCTCAGCAGATGGCAGCTAACATAATGTGAACCTCTGGTCATGGGCATCGGAACTCACCTCAGTCGCAGCGGGAGAGTCGTCGACCAGCAGTTTGTTGGCAACTTCAATCTCTGCAAGTGCTTCTACCTGGAGAACATTGCAGGGAAGGAAAACAAAATGAAAAAAGAAATGTGACATTATCAGTGTGCTGAGGAAAGCCTAAAAAGCCGGCATAGAAATAAGCCCCCCTGTGCTGCAGGGCATCCTGCAAAATCGGAACAATACAGAGAAGATTAGCATGGCCCCTGTGCGACGATGGCACACATAAATCGAGAAAAACAAGAAGGCTATCCTTACATAGAAATAAGGGGAAGAAGGAAATGGTTACCCATGAACATAATCTCAATTGAGAGAAGGAAGAAATATGACCCAAAATCCAAACGAGAGTCATGGCCTTACATAAAACCTTGTCGACACCGGGGGAAGATGCATCAGTGCCATCAGATGGATTTCATGTACTAATACACGAGTGTATGTTGTGTGTGATTTGTATGTGTGTGCGTTATGTGTACGTGTATGTGTGTACGTGTACATGTTAATGTGTATACGTGTACGTGTGCACCTGTGTATACGTGTATGTGTGTATACGTGTATGTGTGTATGTGTGTATGTGTGTATGTGTGTATGCGTGTGTGTGTGTATGTGTGTATATGTGTACGAGTATTTGTGTGTATGTGGGTATGCAAGTGTGTACCTGTGTATGGGCTACCTATCTGCCTGTCTCCTCCTCTTCTCTGAATCCCCGTAGGGGCACTTACCATCTCAAGCTTTTTCTTGAGCATCTGTGGAGTGCCAATGATGAATTCCCCTGTTATCAGCAGATCAAAAGTGTTCCAGTGAAGACAAAGATAAACACGAAAGGAAAAATATCAGTAATCTATGATGAGCAGAAGGCCTTGGCCCTTGTATTCCAAACTTATGAAGAGAACAAAAACAAGAGAAAGAAGAGAGCAGAGAGTGAGGGGGAAAGGAAGGAGGAACGGAGGGAGAAAGGAAGGGAGGAAAAAGGGAACGTGGGGTTAAATGGAAGGAAGGAGGGAAGCAAAAGGGAGAAAAGGAGAGAGAGAGAGAGAGAGAGAGAGAGAGAGAGAGAGAGAGAGAGAGAGAGAGAG